CACGCTCGTGGTATAGCAAAATTGACAGTTTCTTCTTGGAAAATGGCTTCACGAAGAGTCCCAATGAGCCCACTATGTACTACAAGAAGCAAGGCATAGAAGATTTCATGTTGATTAGTCTCTATGTAGATGACATGATATACACAGGGTCCTCAATGAAACTCATACAACAGTTCAAAGAGGAAATGATGAGAACTTTTGAGATGACTGATCTTGGAAGGTTACATTATTTTCTTGGTATCGAAGTAAAACAAACCAACAAGGGTATTTTTATTGCACAAGAGAGATATGTCACAGACTTGCTGAAAGATCTCAATGTAGTGAATGAAGAACCCATTGCAACACCTATGAATACTAATGAAAAGCTTGTAAGTTCTGATGGTACATGAATGGCAGAACCCCAGATGTACAGGAGCATAGTTGGGAGACTAATATATCTTACACACACAAGACCAGACATAAGCTATGCTGTTGGTGTGGTCTCAAGGTTCATGCATTCACCTACAAAACATCATTTTGGAGCGGTAAAAAGAATCATTCGATATGTTGCTTGCACCAAGCATTATGGAATATGGTATATGAAGTCAAAGAAACTACTGTTGGAAGGCTTTACAGACAGTGACTGGGCAGGGTCACAAGAAGATAGAAGGAGCACAACTGGAAATTGTTTCAATGTGGGAACTGGAATTATCTCATGGTTATCAAAGAAGCAAGAAACCGTCGCATTATCCACAACAGAGGCTGAGTATGTGGCAGCCTCAATCACAGCATGTCAAGCAATCTGGTTAAGAAAACTTATGAATGATCTCATGCAAGAACAAACTGAAGCAACTGTGATCTACTGTGACAATCAATCCGCGATTGCAATGACAAAAAATCCTGTCATGCATGGTCGAACCAAGCACATAGAAATTAAGCATCATTTCATAAGAAAGCTAGTGGCAGATGAAAGCATCAAGCTGAAGTTTTGTAGAACTGAAGAACAACAGGCAGACCTGTTTACCAAAGCTCTTCCAGCAGCTCGTTTTGAATATCTTCGTGCAAAGATTGGTGTTGGTACCTTTGAATCAAAGGGGAGTGTTGAAGATTGATTCAAAGTTTCTCAGGAAAATAATAACTCTCGTGACTGGCTTAGTAACTGCTAGAAGTCTTTCAATTTTTCTGCATTTACTTAAGTCCTTCCATATTTCCAGCTTTTACTTTTCAGTTGTAAAACTCTACTATTTATAGCTGCCTTCTGTTCTCTTTTTGTTCATCAATAATATCACGAGAGTTCTCCTGCACTTCCTTTTCATTCTGTTAAGATCCAACAGCAACATAGTTGTTAATAACATTCATAACATTCGCTATAGCGTTTAGCATAGTGTTGTGTTGACATGGCGTAATTTAGCATTTGGAGGCTACTTAGTGAGATCATGGTGTTTATTCTTTTACTTTTTTAATCTGCTATAAATAGAGTGGTTAGGGTTAGACGTAGATTATAATTGCTATAATAGTTTAAGACTTCAAGTTAAGGAATATATATTAATTTTCTAATAGTCTAATGCTAAATATGAAATATTGGGTGTTATCTCATCGCTATTGCTACATAACATATATGTAGCTCGTCGATGTTGTTTGCTATTTGTTATCAACATCTATGAGTAGCAACAATGATTCATCTCATATCTAGAGTACCCATTCCTCTACATGAAGTTGTCAAATTTCAAGAAACATTTTCTTGGTGATTGTTTAATCCATACAGGTTTTTCTTCAGTTTACATACCATGTTTTCCTTATTAATCGTCTAGAAACCTTCTGGTTGTGTTATGTAGATGCCTTCATTATTGTTTTAATATTGGAAAATAGTTTTTGCATATAGCTTCTCTAACCATAAATCTACTGCATGCACAATACCCAAGATTAATCTGATTCTAATCATCTTCAACTAGATAGAAAATCTCATTGTAATCAACTACCTTCTTATGTTGGAATCGCTTAACCACCAACCTGACCTTTTATCTCTTGTTACTATCAAGTTCATCATTTTCCCTGAACACCTACTTGTTTTATAGTGTTTTTCTTTCCTAACAAAAACTAGACCAAAGAGGCAAGGATAAGGTCTGGTTCTTATTAAATGAACTTATCACATCCTCCACGACTTTCTTCCACTACGTGTAATCTGTTATCCTTAAATCCTCTTTACTATACTTTAACTCACGATTATTTGTCAATAGCAAATAGTTTGTTTATGAAGAGTATCTAGTTGGAGCTCTCTCTCTCTCTCTCTCTCTCTCTCTCTCTCTCTCTCTCTCTCTCTCGTGGATATTTTAATAGGTAGGGTTTATGAATCTACTTCATCTATAATATTAACAGGCCTTGTAATGACATTCTATGTCCCCCTGAAGATAATTTGATCTGTCTCATGTGTTTTTTTTTCTTTTCAAAAATTACTCCAAGTTTGTCTTTATAGATGGAATTCTCGTTAAATAGGATATCCTTACTTCCGATGACCTGTATGCTTTGATCATCTTAGAAATGATTCTACCATCCATCCAAACCATAGCCAATAAATATGCATTTCTTGTCATTTTCTTCAAGCTTGTCTTTATCAGCATTCTTGATCTTGATATAAGAGATACACTCGAATACTTTTAAATGTGTAAGAGGCGCCTCTTGGCCTTGTCATTCCTCTTCTAGAATCTTAAAACATATCAAAATTGAGGGTCCACAATTGATTAGATAACTTGTATTTACTAAATCTGCCCATTACATCTTTGAAACGCCTACATGAAGCCTCATACTCTTTTCCCTTTGATTTAGTGTTACATTTTGTTGAAGTGTCTTTAGAAGCCATTCTCGACATAATATGAAATAAAAAGAATGTCGTGTGCTATATCCATTAGATTTAAGAACTTGTTAATCCTATTATCTACCGCGACTTTCAGAAAACAAACTCATACCTTTCTCGTGGAATCGTTTATAAAGGTAACATAGTAGAGTAATCATCTAATTAAGTAAACCGATATTGGACCGTACACATCAGTATAAACCAACTCCAACTTTACAACCTTGGGTGACATTTTCATCTTTGCAAATGTAACCTTTTTTTTGTTTGCCAAGGATACATGACTCACAGAATTCCACAATCACAACTAGACTACCTAGGATCTTCATATATTTCTCACTTATATACCTAAGTCTCGGTGTCTGATGTATACATACCTATATCCTAAAAAACCATGTTTGCCCCTCCTTTAGACACCTCAACTGTGTATAAGGTTCCCTATTTTTGTCCTTGATAAAAATAATAAATTCCTCGTGTCACCTTCCATTGATGAGATCTAAAATCTACATGATATCCTTCATCCTTTAATTATCCTACACTTCCAAGTAAAATATATGGAGTGGAACGAGGTGTAAGCTTGTTTTTGGTGTTGAAGTGTGGGTTACAGGGTATCTGAAGCTCGAAGGTGAGTATAAGAGGGTTGTCTACCGAATCTTTTGAATTATGGATAGCCATTCCTTTATGGTGGTGAAGGGTAATATATTGAGAAGTTGAAATGACATATGAAGGGCTTCACCCAAAACTTAGGTGGAAGACTAGCATGGAAGAGAAGGGAACAAATAGTGTTGTTCTTAGTTTACAATATTAGCCGAGATTATCCTATCATCACAACAAGATTACCTTTCCTAGTATTCTAGGATATTAGTTAGTGAAGATATTACACATATCCTATGCCGAAAATAATGTGATACACCTTGTATATATACTTGTATTATCAATGAAATACACACGTTGAAAATGTTGGCAGATTAACTTGCCATTGTGGGAAATCCAGTGTCAAATCAAAGACTCGTTCTATAATTGATTGATGATCTCAACGAAATCTACGAAGGCGTAGTCATCCTCATACAACAAGCCACTCATCTCCCTGACTTCTATGATTTCCGATCAAAACGAATCATGGAAGAATCTCGTAAAGCTCACCAAGCTGCCACTGCTGCAGCATCACCTAACATCGACGATATGAGAAAAGAATGGTTATACCTTTAGAGGCATGTAGATCATGAAAGGAAACATTGTCATATTCACCACCACTATCACATTAAAAGACACTAATTTCACGATTGAATTGATTTTCGACAAATAAGAGAAAATGTAAGAATTTGGAAAGTACATTGGATTTTTTGTCTAAGTGGATAAAACTCATACAAAATGTGAAAACTGATCAAGAAAAATAACATAATACTTTTGGCCACTATGACCAGAAATTGGTGATGTCCAAACATTAGAATTTATTACATCAAATAGAAACCAACAATTGAATTTGAAAGACAAAAGGGAAGACACACATGTTTACCCAACTAACAAGTTATGTAATACCTAAACTAATACATCAAATAGAAACCAACAATTAAACATGTGTACACTTTACATACATACACGAACTTGGGCTCTGCAATACCTAAACTAATACAACAATGCACATACATACACGTTATCATTACCATTTTTATTTTCTTTTTTCCATTTTTTCCATCCAAGTCATCAGTAGTCATAATTTTTTGTTCACTAAATCACACTTTAACTTGTTTACCAATTTAACCAGTAAATTGTTTCTCATATGGTTACCATTTTTTTTTGTTGACATTGCATCTCTCTTTTTTTTCTTTTCACTAAATCACACTTTTTTCCATTTTTTTTTGTTTCTCATATACTCATTGTTAGAAAAAAAAAATGGTGAAAATAGATCGGTTTATAATCAAATTCTTGATATCTTAGTGGATTGTGTAAATTTCACTTTCTTTTGTTGACAACTGATGAACTGAACCCTGATATTGTGCAAATTTGTTTGTTGCCTACTAACGACATTAATTGCTATTGACCTACAAATTTTTTTGATAATTTACCTACTCATGTAGAAAATAGACAGCATTCTTAGTTTTCTTAATTAGACATTAATTAAGAGAATATATATGATGATTTTAAATCCCGAATATTGTTTGATTGAAATAGCATGGAAGCAATTCTTGAACGATATGAAAGGTGCTCATATGCAGAGAAGATTCTCACTGCACCAGGAAACGAAACCCCAGTAAGCATCACAACTACAAAACACAGCATTCCCATTTCCCCCCCTTTATTTCTTCCATTTATATTTTATTTTTTCGTCTAAACTGATGTTGACCAGATTCAAAGTGGTAGCGTTGACTTGATTTTTCGTGAAAAATTGTATGCAGGGAAGCTGGACTCTTGAATCCTCAAAGCTTATGGCAAAAATAGAAGTCCTAGAAAAAAATATGAGGTACGCTAATCATATTATTCAAATTGATAATATATTAATACTATACGAATATATTAATATGATTCTAAAAAGTTATTATTAAAATAATCATCTAATATTTTTCACTAAAGCAAGTTAGATAATTAATTTAGCAACTTTACAAATGTTTCCATTTCGTTAGATATATTTTTATAATTCATTTAATTTTATTAAAACATGTTTAATAGGCACTATGCTGGGGAAGGATTAGAGTCCTTAAACCTTAAAGAGCTTCACAGTGTAGAACAACAGATTGATACTGCTCTCAAGCGAATTCGAACCAAGAAGGTAAAACCATTTCACTTTATTTTATTTTTTTTGTTGCAAACAAAACACAATAAATTTTTTAAACCATAATTTGTTTAAAATCTCTTATGCAGAACCAACTGATGCACGAGTCCATCTCCCAACTTCACAAAAAGGTAATTCAAAATCTTTGATAATTATTAATTATTAATTAATTAAACATTAATGTACTGATCATAAACAATAATAAGTTTGTATGAGTTAATGAATTGTTGTGGCATATATGCAGGAGAAGGCACTACAAGACCAAAGGAATACACTCTACAAGAAGGTATATATCTTAAATCTATATGAACAAAATAAATATAACGTTTGATCTGTGAATCATAGTTCAAATAAATATTTTGTATTTATTTTTTCTTTTACAAAATCTCTCATATATCTAAATGTGTAAACAGTTGAATGAGAAAGAGGCCAACACCGATCTACAACCGCCTCACATGCCGGCTCCGGATCCGATTCATCACTCTCTTCCTATCGGCGGGTACTCTCTCTCTCTCTCTCTCTCTCTCTCTCTCTCTCTCTCTCTCTCTCACACACACACACACTGATGCACGTGATAAACGAATTGATGAAAATGGTTAGTTGATTACAAACTTTTGTAGGGATCCATTTCTGGAAACTGATGTAAGGGAGGAGGGATACGCTGGAGATCACCATATCACTGCCACATCGCTGCCGCCATGGATGCTTCAGCATGTTCATCAGTAAGATTAATTATCTGAATGGAACTTTTATTTATTTATAAAATTGAATTACATCAGTTTGCATATTTATCCAACCGAATCGTTGCATGTGGAGACAGATGTAATATGTGGGGGTGGGTGTTTATTATCGATGATGTTACAAGTAACTTTATGTTTTATCATTATCGATTTCAAAATCAAATGTACAGTAATTTAAATGAAATACAACAAATAATATCAACAATCTGAAAATTTGAAATAAATGCTAATGTATGTTTTAACCTTAATAATTTCAAGTATCTATATAAACGTATGACGAGTTCTTCAGACGTGGGGATATCTTTAGCATATAAACTTTGTTCCAAAAAAATAAAATCTACCATATAGACATGGTATGCAAGTGCAAACCTTATAAAAAATCCTAAGGTTTGGCAATGTAAATGTATATAAAATACAAAGTTTAGTATATTACATTCCTTAAAAAGAATGTTATGGTAGTCATATGTTGGTTGGAAACTATAGATTGATTACTGCTAGGTTGTTCAACATATGAATTTATGAATGAATTGATTTTTACAATAACAATCTCTAGTCTTATAAAATAGGGTAAAGGGAAGGTAAGAAGTTGGAAGTCGAAAATGGTTTCATAGATGACAAAGGCATAAAAAGGAAACATAGGCCCACAATGTGTGATATTCTGCGAATAAAATGTCAGACTTTATGGATTTCTGAGCTCAAAAACGACATTCTATGTGTATCATGTTGGTGTTTTGATCAAAAAATGTTTGTGTTTGGAATTTCTCATTTAAAGTAACTTATGCTTGTGTAAAAGTGCTTATTAGTTTTTTTCCAATGTTAAAACAGAGTTTTAAAACAAAAATGTTTTGATTAAGTTTTAGATATCAATATGTAATAAGCTGATAAATTCTTTTTTAGTGTTTGATAATTTTTGCTTATAGATACAAAACGACCAATAATGGTCGAATATATACTTATTGATAGGACAAGAACACAATAACAAATGAAATTGTGGAATAACATTAAGAACATTTAAACTAAATAACAATTCATCTCTTTGATTAATTTTGATTGATTGATGAGAGTGAATACAAAACAAGGGTCAAGTATTTAGAGTATACAAACATTATAGAAAACTTATCCATTCTCTATGACATACACTGATATATAGATACAAAGAAAGGTGCATTACACAACCAATCATACATATACACGTAAATTACGAAACATTAAAAACATAATACCCTACTCACACTAACATACACATGCGGTTAAGAGCATCTTAGCTAGCTTACACCATAACTCATTAAAAAGGAGCATGATATGATCTACTAACTTTTTGGAATCACAAAAACATCTCCATTGAAATGGTCTTCAATGACTATCACAACATAATACTCAACATTCCCCCATTTTGTAACTTGTCACAAAATTCGAAGTCTTCAATTAAAAAAGTATAGTTGCAATACGGAATAAGGCTTTCCAAACTGCCATCCACCAGACAAGAAGATCCGCCATTTCTTTTCTATGTCTCCTGGTTGTCATCACACAGTTATCATTACCAAAATATACCGAAATATGGAAGATGGAAAGCTTTCTTTTATCAATTCTGAAAAACAACTTAGCATATCCTCCTTTTGTCTTTTTAACTGAGTAAAAAACCCGCACAAGAGTTCATCAGTATCTTTCATTTTAGAAATCCCATTCAACCTCATGTATGGATCCCTAACAACCTTGTTAAGTCTTTTGACAAGTTTATAATCTAAAAAAGCAATTTCTTGATAATAGAACACCACAAAAGATTTGATATATCTAAAAAAGTGGGTTGATTTCTAATACCTACAACAAGTTGACAATTATCAAATTATGCTTTAAACCTTCAACATATGCAACACGTTTATTGTGAACCATTCGTTCATGATTTTCCATATCCTTTTATTGAAGCTCTCATTGTTTGTAAACTTTAGATCACCAGTATCAGAAAGTTCTTTGTAATCCCTTTAATGTTCCTTCTTATCAATCATGTGACATGGGAAATCACTATCAATATATCATTCTCTATTATATTTGTTCATCACATATCACATGTATTAAAGTAAAATGTGAATTGAAATTCAAAGTATTCTTTTGTGACAATCTGTAAGTTATTTAATACTTTTGAACTTTGAAATTTGGTTTCCAAATAGGGACTGCCTTTTCGAAGTTGTCGAACTTAAGATTTCGGTATCCAATTAGTGACTAGGTTCAAAAGAGTTCGATTGAATTTCGACTTCAAAATTGAAATTAAACTATGTTTGGTATAAGATCAACATAATACTTAGAAAAATCCTTCCTAACCTATTCAGCAGTTTCAAGGCTTGATTTTTTTTTTCAGAAAAAATATCTACAAGTTGTGTTTCATATAGAAATTCTTCATAAGATTTTTTGATTTACGAATGATTTATCTTGAAAATGATGCATGTTTTTTATTAAACCAATAGTGAAAAGTTTTCACTTCACTTTTGTTTTGGTAATGGATTTGGATGCTTTGTTATAATTTCATATTTGGAAATTTTGGTTGATATCGAACAAAAGTTGGTTTATTTGTCAAGTGAGCAGTTTTTGATGAAGTTTTTCAAAGAAATAATTGAAGTTGGGAATTGTTTTTTTCGTTTTTGACTATAAATAAATCTTTTGTGATTTTGCTTTTGAGAAACATGTGATTTTTCCTTCTAATATTTTTTCACAATCAATATGTAACGTCCCAAATTATCAGCAAAAACTTTCTTTTTAAAATAAGATTTAATAACACAAAAACCATCATGAAAATACATATCATCTGATTGTTTTCAAAAGTCATAAAACATATTTTTCAAAACAGAGTAAAAGCATAACATAAGTCCGTGGAAGTCCCAAATCATAAACATAACACCGATTCGATTGTACAAGTCACGTTGTATCATTCCCTTTCTCACCATAACAACTTAAAAACATTTAACTTTAAAACATAATTAAGCACAAAGCTTAGTGAGTTCCCCAAAATACCACACATTCCATTACATATACATTTACCATAGTCTCACATACAACCGTTATAGTCCAATTATAATCTCACATACATTTGTTATAGTCCAACTATAGTCCCAAGTAACATTGTTATAGTTCAACTATAGTCTCGCATACATTTGTTATAGTCCAACTATAGTCTTACATACAACTGCTATAGTCGACCTATAGTCTCACATGTAATTGCTATAGTCCAAGCATAGTTTCACAACACTCACATAAACATGCTATGATACAGTGACATCTAATGCCATACATAGTATCATGAGAAACTCGTGTGAATCTAGAAACCACAATATCTAAAGCTGTCTCCTCAATGAGTGGCTAGCACAAACTACCAAATACCAAACAAAGGTCAATCCTCAATTTAATATTCATATCCATCAAAGTTTGACCAAAAGTCAAATTGGTAAAAAAGTTAAAGTCGATGCTAAACACGTCGCAGCCAACACCAGACGCCCCGTGTCCACTATAGGACAAAATAGTCACAACTAAACCCTAATCGACGGGTCACGACCATCTAATGGACGCAACGTGTCTACTCGCTTAAAAACCTCTTTCATTAAGTTCTTAATCCATCAAGCCAGAGGCTCAAACCTTCCAATAGCATTCCAATAAGGCTCTTAATGGATAAAGTTTCAAACTTTATCCAAAACCTAGTCTCTAACAAGTCTAACACTAACACTAGATCTAAAATGGGTCTTTTAAGAAACACAACCTTGCTGAGAATGACATTGCTTTCAACAATATTTTATGTTTACTAAAAATGTTCACCAACAACATTTTTATTATCATTTTTGATGATGGAAATCATTTCAAGAATAACATGCTTTGAATTATCTTGTTTGACGAAAAATTTGATTTGGAGAGTTAATTACCTTTGGATAAAAAAAAGTAAATGGATTAAGAAAATTTTTTCCTTTTGTTTTCAATTTCAAATTTTTATGAAAATAATGAGTACCTTCCATCAAAAGAATTGGTAAAATATTATTATTACATTCACTATTATTCTCAAAATTGGATACATGGTCAAAATCATTTTGATTTTTCTCCGCGTCTTTAAGATGTTCGGAATCCTTTGTTAAAGCATATTTTGAAGGTTTACCAAAACCAAGTTAAATATAAATTCTGAAGCAACGATTTCAAAATTATCACAAGAAGAGATAACTTTAACAAAAGTTAGATTTACATAATTTATTTTAATTTCTTCTTCTATTTCATTCATTTCATCACTCATGTCATCCAAATCAATATAGTTTTTAAATTTCGATTAATCATCCAAGGGCCGGTCCCGAGAATTCAAATGTCCGGGACGAGCTGGAAAAAAAGGCCCTTAGGCCTTAAAGTGTAACGAATTAAAATTACATAAACTAATATTTTTTTAAAACGACGATAAAATTTATAGCAATAAACATAGCAAAATCATAGTATTTTAATGAATAATTACATATTGTAACAGCTAACCGACGATCCGTGAAGCTCTCCTAGCGTTCTTGATAGCAAATTGGTTGAGCAACTCTTCGTAGTCTATACTCTCTAAGATTTCGTTCTCGATAGATATCATCGCCAAAACACTAAGTCTTTCTTGGGACATTGTGGAGCGTAAGTAAGACTTCAATAACTTCAACTCAGAAAAACTCATTTCTGCAGATGCCACCGTCGGGTCAACTCGGTTTACGGTCTTTTTTTATTTTCATATTTTTTACTTTCCAGCATTATGCATAGGCATATAAAACCAATAATTTGATATCCACAAAGTTTGATCATTGAAAAACATATCAAAACATGTTATAGATCAATCTAAACACAATAAACAACCACATAGAGTATAAATAACAAAAAAAAACATAGTTTTAGACGGATCCAAACACGCCACGACCAAACCAAATTGTGACGTCCCCAAAATCACGGCCAGAAAAGACCGGTTTAATTTATGCTTTTAAATAAAATCAGAGTAATCCTTTGATTAAAAGAGTTGCGGAATTTGTTCCCAAAACAAAATATGATAAGAATTTATCAAAGCATTTCATTAAAGAAATGTATTTTCATTATATAACAAAACATCGGGATGTCATGTTCCGATACAGACCAAAAGCATAAACAATACAAAATAGACCTTACAACAGTTACATATAACTACTGGTCTATAATCCAAAAATATCTTGACAATGTCATCCAACTTATGCTCTCGCGCCACTACCTGTAATGCAAAGAAAAACTGAGTGGGTCAGGCTTGGGAGCCTAGTGAGCATATAGGGTTTTCAACCCACAATAAATAATTATATTTAATTTCACCAACCAACAATAACCCGATTACCCATTCCCGTTATCCTCACTTTATGTCCCTAAAACAACAACTATTACAAGGGACCTAATCTAGGATTTTCATCGGGACGGACATTACTGCAAAGGGGTTTCCTTAACAATAGATGTCCTAAAGGCAACTATGAGGGGGATGGAGTACACCGGTGAACACATCGTTCACAACACCTACAGGTTATGAGTCTGCTAGTGTTCCACTGGACTGTCTAGAAAGAGTCCGTGGTTGTCATCCATAC